GTGTCTGAGAACTGATGAGAGAGAGTGGAGGGAGATCAGTAGGCTACGTTCACATTACAAGTGGCACAAACCTGACGTTGTTGCCTAAACACAGATCTGATTCTTTCAAAAAAGCGGAAGCATATCTCATATGTGGTAACTTGTAACAATGTAAACAGATTGAAGGAGAGTTCCACCTTTTTTTTAAATCTCTATGATTACTTTAAGGTTAAGATGTGAGCAAACGCATTCAGAGAGGTTTGATGTGAAACGCTCTGTTCTAGAAAAAACTTACAGAGTCAAATTTGTCCACAGTGATGGTGATAGGAACCAGACGTCTAAAAGAGTTTTATGTCTCTAAAAGCTCCCTTTTATTATGAATATGCTGCCTGATGCCTGAGACATTACTTTATGACAAAGCTTTCGCCTAAAATGTGTTTTTTAAAAAGCGATTAGTGGTGGAGAGGTACTTGCAGAGTGTTGTGAGGCAAAATAGACCAATTATTTTTTCAGATTTATCACTATTTTGCCATCATCACCATAATATCTAAACACTCAGGAGAATTTAGGTTCACTGGTTGTTTTGGATAATAAATAAAATGGCTATATTTTGATTGTTGACCTCCTGGTTCCTATCATCACCACTGTAAGGTGTATCCAAGGTGGTAAGTTTCTCTAGAACGGAGTATTTCACATCAAACCACTCTGATTTACTTTTTTTTTTACATAGCAACCATTGAATTATGCAGAATCACCTTAAAGACCTACCACTTAAACAGTCTCATGCACAAAAGAAAGACCTATTATAAGAGTATTCATATGTATACTAATAAGGTGCTAAGTCCCATGAGATTGAATACCTTATGATGTTACATTTATCTGTAGAGATTATTTAATTAACAATGTTAAGCATAACACAAATGGCCTTACTATGTTTCAGTGACATTGAAAATTAGCTACCTGATGTTAGCTAACATTAATGTTATCTTATAGCTAGCTAGCATGGCTGATCATGTGGACTTTTAGAGCTCCATTTTCAAAGCTCTGGTCAAATGCAGTATTGTATGAAGTAGTGATGCAGTCATGAAAGAAGCATCTCAATAAATCACCAAAATAACTAGCTAGCTAATCTAACGTTAGGTTTCCATTAGCTGACTTTACAGTTAGCTAAAAGTAGCTTAACATAGTTAGCTTGCTAGCTACAAGCTCCAAAAATGTAATGCTGGACCATTTTGTTTTAAGAAATGGCTTAGTGTCCCAAAAAGTTGTAGGGCGGAAATATCAGAAGATCTGGGTAAAGCAATTCAGAACTAATTTATAAGGCTTGTAATGTGAACGTATGGGTACAAGTACAAATCAAAAGAAAGGGACAGATGGGTGGATGTGCTTTACTGTAAATCTCTGAATTTGGGGACGGGGGAGGGATAAGAATGTGACATGGTCACACCACGTATTATGTGCCATATAAAGACAGCACACACTCAAACGCTGGAGAGATACGCTTCAGTCTGAACTCTCTTTTACCTACCATGCCTCATCCTGACTACTAAGAGAACCACACTGAGTTTACAACCTTTGAAAACGGAAAAAAAAAACATACTGGACGTCTGACGTGAACGTTTAGAGCTCTGTACATGTATGAACATATCTCAAATAAGTGGAAAACGGAGGGATTATCAACAGGCCCTGCTGTGGCGAATGAGGGTTCATGCCTGCTTTGAAATAGAGGTTTGGATTGAGGACCTGGAGATGGAGCTAACTTCCTGTTCTACATTCCAGAGGAGTGTTTGTGTGCCTGTTTGTGCGTGCGTATGCTATCCTGATGGACTCTGTGAGGCTACAGGCTTCACACAGCACCATGCTCTTGTTTGTCTGTCGATGTACAATCAGCCGTGTGTTTGTGTGACTGGAATGTAGACCAGAAGAACAGACATAAGAGCGGAGATGTGGAATGTTATAGTACTGTAGACAAGCACACAGTGTACTTCAAATGAAACCACTGACACAGCCAAGACATACAGTGCTGTGCAAAAGTCAAAGACCACCATTCACTTAATTAAATTCCAGTTAAAATGGCCATTAAGTAAAGTTCATTTTTTGATGTTAGAAAATTGAACTAGAAAACATTTAACAGGAAATTACACAACAACTAAGCATATTTTTCAGTATTTAGTGTGTCCACTTTTTGCCTTTATCACAGCTTCCATTCTTTTCAGGAGACTTGCTTTCAGTTTTGCAAAGAAATCTGCAGGGATAGTCCAAAGTTCAGTCTTAGAATTTGGTCACATTTTCTGCTTTTCATGGTATAAGTATTCCCAAACACATTCAGTGGTGTACAGGAACACTGGATTTTTTCAGATCTGAAGCAAGAGTGGAGCTTGATTTTCTCCTCTCTCGCAAAGATGAAAGCTTCAAGTGCTGTTTATCTGATGGGGACAGTTTTGGTGGTCCGCCAGGTCTGGCAGGTGGTTGTTAGGGGGTTCTATTTTCTCTGTATCTTTTAATAATTTTTTGAACTCCAGTTTTGGAAACTCATTTCATTTATGATTTTTTTACTTCTCTCTCCTTATGCAAGTAGATTATCTTATATCTCCTCAGATATAAGGGACTCTGACTTTTGCACAGTAATGTATTGCCAAATTAAAACACACACACACACACACACACACATACACACACACATGCAGACAACCTAATTCAAACACACTTTCATGAAAAGAGGTGTGTAGTGCTGGTGTAGTTTGTACATGAGTGAATAGTCTATCGGTTCCTCGTCATATCAATATTGACTATTGAGTGATTGAGTGTGAAGCAGACTAGTCTATGGATGCAGCTTGTTGGGGTAATACTACCTAAACGTTTGCCTGTCTTTAACATGGAGAAATAGACCGATTTTCTCTCACACTTTATACGACTTTTGTAGCAATACGCCTCTGTAAATGCAGGAGTCTGTTCGTCCCCATAACAGACCGTCACAAGCCGAGAAATAAAAAACGTCCTGACCAACATCGCATAGGGAAAAAAGAGCTTCATCACATCACACACGGTGAACAGAATGAGCAGGAACATCCGTTTTTGATGCACGTGATGGAGACAGCGACCAATAAGATCCCAGAAAAGAGCCTCGCTGCTCAGCGTATAGATGACATTGATAATACAAAGAGAAACTGAGGTCAGGCTTAACACAAGGGCCGTCGCACGCGTACGCAAGGCAGACCAGCTCTAGCCTCGTCTAACCCTGCTGAAACATACTGGCCTTCCTCGATGGCAGACTGGCAGTTGCACAACTCCAGCAGTTTGAACAAAGGGCAGTGGGAGCTGGGCAAAATTTGTTCTGCATTAATTCTAAAATGATTCATGGTCATTTTTTGCACCCAGCTTTACTGAAATGCCTCTTTGGATGGTCAGTGAATGTAGACTGACTTGGGGCACCAAGTCTAAAGGAATATTCTTTGGCTAAACAAAATCAAATTTACACAGTTTTCCCCCAAATACTTGACCAGGCTAAACATGTTTGGTGTCTACAGTTTGCTTCTTTAGTTTTAGCTTTGTTTATTTGTGCAGCTCTTTAAGGCTGCAAAAAAACATCCAGCAGTAAAGGGAGCCTTGTACATCTTTTATACAGTGATAGAACTCAGAAATGCATGCATCATAACTCCTACTCCTTTAGATTTAAATGAGTTTAATATGATATCACCAAATTCTGAACACTGATCCACATAAATGTGCCAGTGTTAGTTAACTGGCTAGTTTTCAACTGTAGTCCCTGAGACCTGATGTTGTAGCCCAGACACATTGAACAGTTCACACACAGACAAAGCTAACATTATAAAAAAAAAAAACAGACGTTTATAACAATACATAATTAAAAAAACAGCAGATAAATGGCAAAAATTTACATGCAGGCAAGTACACAGAATAAACTTCGGTAGCACCAGAAAAACCAGCATAGCTAGCATATTATTGTTGTCAGAACAAAATCTCATATTTCCAAAATGGTAACTTTACAGGAGAACTTGAAATGGAAGTTAATGGAAAAATATTTATTTCCAAGTCATTTTGGACCATTTTGATTGGTCCATTCATTATGAAAGTTTCCGATGAAAATGGTAACATGGGTTTTATTATGCAAAAAAAAGTAAAATCGAGATTCAAGATTTTTGCAAGGCAGTAACAGTATGTTGTGTTTAAGATGTAGGTATGCTGGTCAGCAGCAGTGGAAGCTGTTATGATGATCCCCACCAAATCCAGTGTATACGTGCTGAGTGACCAGCTAAACCAGTACTGGATCAACACTAATTTACTAAGATCTTTTATCCTTGCGGTCAGTCTGACCCCAGCAATATAAATTCAGCGGCAAGGTGTGTGAAATGTTGATATTTCTCATGTTTTATACAGCTAAAATCAAACTGATCCCAAAGTAATATCATCATGTTAATTTTATGTTTGCCCATTTGTCCCTATTAAATTAGGAAATGTCCTTTATTTAGAGATTTTAAACACTAAATGGGGTGAAATTGACTCCAAAGATAATAGAATGGCCAGGCCAGCAGAACTTAGACCTTTATTTTTTTTGAGATGTAGCTAGCAAGTAGCTAACATGAAGCTAATAACCTCCAGTTAGCATCCCGCAGCTTCATCATCATACGCTTCAACAACATCAGATTGTTATACTGTCAAATAGACTTGCTTATGTCGTTTCTGACACTGTATGACATACTGTTATCAATAAGAATGCTGACTGGTGCGCTATAAGCTTTGTTTTACTAGTTAGCTCCATTAGCTCTAGTGCAAAAGTAAAGAGGCAAACCAAACATGTCTTGGCTGATCAACTACATTTGGGCTAATGAGGAAACTCTGTACATTTGATTTTTCATCGCACTATTCCTTTAAACCCCAGAGCTACATAAAGTAGATGCCCCCATGTTTCAGGCCGGTTTTACGAGGCTAGACCAGACCTCCACAGATTTCTGGTTGGGTCTGCAGGTCTACAACTCTGTATCATACTCGAATCCATGTACATAAGCTAAAGTCTTACTGTCTGTCTTCATTTCAGTGGCAACATAGTCACAAGTGTCAGTCATACGGGATTGCCATGGAGATTAGCCTAGTGTAAGGGTGGGGAGGGTTCCATGACAACAGGGAGGCTCACATACTCGCACACACATGAACACACACACATGCGTGCACGCTGCCATTCGTATCGAACTCTGACAGACACGCCAAGCTCGATTCTTCTGTTTTCGTTCGGGCAGAGGTTCACCTGTTTGCATCTTGAAGAAGATTCCACCTCACACAGGCTTCTGCTGCTCAGCCTGGACTGGCAGCAGCACTCCTCAAACCAATGCTGGAACTATCCGCACAAAACGGAAAACCAACAAAAAAAAATAAACAAAAACAACCCACACAAAACATGCTAAGAAAAAAATACACGAGCGTTAAAAATTGTAAAATAGATATGTACAACTGTATTGATTATGTAGCAATTATTTCCACTTTCATACTTGTAATCAACAAATATATTGTAGCATATGATGTATAAAAGTACAAGGTGTTTAATTGTTTTATAAAGGAATTTAGTAGTTCTATCTGTGGCAACCTGTCTACACTGTACCAAATGGTTTGGCCCGCAATGAAATGCAAGCCCTCTTACTAAAGGCACAGTCACAGACACACCAACACAGTTTATTCTGCTAGATTTATGCAAGTCCCTTTAAAACAGGTCTACTTTTACTGCTTTTTTACACATTTGTTTATTTATGTACAGGAACCACCAGCCCAGTTCTGTCACTGTTTGGATATTTTGGAATACTTTTGCTGCTATATTGAATTACTACTGCTATTATAAATAGGTTGTCATATTCCTCACTGCTGGTAACACTTCTTCTATTATTCCTCTTCCTTTTTTTGCTTTTGTTTAACTTTTCTCTTGCGTTTTCCCGGAGGTCAGACAGGATGGAGTTTGTTCTCACTACCGATGAATGGATCCTTCCGTAACTGTACTATGGCACTCGAGTGGTTTTTAGTTCTTGTTGTGGTTGTATTTTACCGTTGTTGTTATTTTCTGAATAGTTAGCACCAACCTGTACAGTTTTCACCTTGTCAGCACTACTGAAAAATGTGAAGGTGATGTTGCGGGGTTGCTGTGGTGTTACCATGGTCTTTACATGATCTCACTATGGTGTCACTTGGGTATTACCATGGTGCTACAATGGTATTACTTTGGTGTTACCATGGTGCTACAATGGTGTTACTGTGGCATAACTTGGGTGTTAGCATCCTGCTGCTATGGTGTTACCATTGTGTTACCATGGTGTTACTGTTTTACCACTAAGGTGTTACTATGGTTGTTACCATGGTATTACCTGAGTGTTACCATAGTGCTATTATAGTGTTACTGTGGTATACCATGGTGTCACTTGGGTATTACCATGGTGTTATCACAATGTTATTATGGTGCTGCTATGGTGTTTCCATCGTGTTACTGTGGTGCTGTTATGGTTATACCATTGTGTTACCGTGGCGTTACTTGGGTGTTGCCATGGTGCTGCTATGGTGTTACCATGGTGTTACCGTTGTGGTACTATGGTTTTACCATTGTTGTTACCATTGTATTACCTGAGTGTTACCATGGTGCTACTATAGTGTTACTATGGTATACCATGGTGTCACTTGGGTGTTACCATGATGCTACAGTGGTGTTACTATAGTGTTACCATAGTGCTGCTAGTTTCCATGTTGCTGTGGTACTATAGTGATACCATTGTGTTACCATGGAGTTACTTGACTGTTACCATGGTGCTATTATGGTACTGCTGTGGTGTTACCATGGTGCTACTATGGTGTTACCATGGTATTGGCATATTGTTACTATCTTATTGTCATAGTGTTACCTTGGTGCTACCATGATGTTACCATGGTGTTACAGTGGTGCACTACAGTGTTACTGTGGTGCTACCATGGTGTTGCAGTGGTGTTATTATGGTGTTGCCATGGTATATTATAGTGTTACTTGAGTGTTACCATGGTGCACTATGGTGTTACCATGGTGTTAGCATAGAGTTTCTATGGTGTTGCCATGGTGTTAGCATAATGTTGCCATGGTGTTATTGTGATATTAGACAGACACCAATGGTGACACCACAGGACCCAGGAGGCCACTATGAGTACAGTCTTTATCAAACAGGAAATAGAATCACAGTAGAGGAAGAGGGCTGGTGCAATGCATGCTGGGAGTTCTTAGAGGGGTCTCTCCAACATACCGAAAGGTTGGGCTGTGTCTCAGTCTAAATAAACTGTGCCCAATTTGTACTTCAGATATACTAAGTAATCATCTAGTTGCAATTTATTACAATGAAGGGGTAACTTAAGTATTATTGAGAAAACTAGTTTACAGAAGCTGTCGGCTTTGCGTGTCTACTTAAACGGTGGCCATATTATGAGTGCCATAATATATTGATATGGTAAGATACGATGTACCTTGGAAATCACTGTAGTGCTATATTTGCATTGATATCGTCATGAAATAAATTTTATATGATGAACTGAAGGGTTCTGTGTCTCGACGTGTCTTGCCGGGAAAACAGAGGGGTGGGCGATATGGCAAAAATATAATAACAAGGTACTTGAAGACATTTTCACAATACATAGTATGGATAACAGTATTCAGTCTTTCTGAGGTTTGAAAAGTTAGAACAGAAAAAAAGCCTCAGTAGTGCTACATTTAAAAAATGCTGTCAAAACAAATGAGGACAATGATTTTAAATCAGTACATCTGGTTAGGCGGGACTAATTATGCTGTCCTTGTACTGAAATATGCAGTTGCCCTGTGTCGATTAAGTGCTGATGATATCCACAACATGCTCAGAAAAGTGTACTTTCGTGTAATTAATCACACTATGATAAAATATCATCAAACTGTCCATCGCTACTTTGACGCTCTGGAGGTATTTTGCATTTTGTTTTGCATTTCAAAGTGTTTTATCTCACGGGCTCTGTGCACTGATTAGTCAGCATGCTTGTTAGCTGATCTTGGGCCAGCTGACCCCATTGATCTTCTCTCTGCACACAACACAATTGAATCTTGAGTGCTGAGTCAGGCTCTACAGCTCCGTGTATTTCTTGTGCAACTCTGTTGTGAGACAGAAGAGGGCGCCAGTACGCTGTTAGGCAATAAGGCAGTGTGCACTAGAATGTACATCTTGTTCCTCGCTTTTTGAGCTTTCCTGTAACCTGACTTGGGACATTGCCTACAGAGATTAGGACTCGGAAAGCTGCTCCTGAATCTGACTGCACACAGAGTTCCTCCATGTCCTGAATCAGCACAGACTGATGGGTAATCCAGCTCTGCCTTTACTCTTGACTCATTCTGTAATGGTACATGGTGAGCCAAGAAGTGATTGCAATATAGCCTATATATTTCATACAAACATTTTCTAAACCGCTTATACTTCTGGGTCGCAGGTGGTGCTGAAGCCTATCCCAGCAGTCATTGGGCGGAAGGCAGGATACACACTGTACAGGTCGCCATCGCAGGGCAGACGTAGCCTATATATGCCCTGCTTTTTATGACTTTATGTCTTGTTAAAATGCTCTTCTTTAATATTCACCCATTCACTCCAGGTTTATTACTCAGTTATCATCATAAGTGTTCAATACTTAGTATTATAATAAAAAGAGTGAGTAACTGAAGTGTGGGCCCACATTAGTTAAAGGGATAAATATTACATTAATAGTAAATAGTAATGTTCCAGTATGAATCTTTGCATTATTATTATTATTATTATTATTATTATTATTATTATTATTATTTAATATTATACCTTGTCCATGTGGAAAGCCCATGTCATGTAAGGCCTTGTATTGGAAACTCTTTAATTCCGCTGCCCGTCCAAAACCTCCAACTTATTTTGGTCTTCAGCTATTATGGTCAATGAAGTGACTGCTCTGGAACATCGTATCGTCACCATGTCATCCGTCTCTTTAGAAACAAACGCAGCACTCGGCCTGTGCTCTGATTGGTCGAGCTGAGCGTCGGTAAAGCTCACGGTCTAGCCGACGGGGGGGGCGGGGCGAGCGTAGCGCACAGGGCTGCTATTGGACGAGGGAGAGAGAGAGAGAGAGAGAGAGAGAGAGAGAGAGAGAGAGAGAGCTTACAGTTACAACTTTTGCAGTTGTTTCAATGTTTAGTGCCAGTTTTCATTCTTACTTTCGACACTCTAAAATGTTCAGTTCCTTATTTCATCATTTTTAATGTCCCCCAAATTTTGTGGCCATTATTTGTCATGTAAATAAAGCAGAAAGAATGAAAGGATTTGAAAAAGACAGAGAGAAAGACAAAAACAGCAAGAGAATTGTGTGATGGAGAGAAAGAGAGAGTGAGAGAAAAGATGGAGAGATAAGGGCAGAGAGAAGAAAAGAAAAAGTGAAAAAAAGAAAAAGTGCGAGGAAGAGAGAAGAGAAAGAACCAGAGAAAAAGAAAGAAAGACGCAGGAAAGAGAGAGAGAGAAGCAAGAAAGAAATGAATGAAAGAAAAAGAGCGAGCGAGAGAAAAAGAGACTGGAAAAGGGGGGATAAAGAAACAGGAAGAAAGTGTGAGTAGGAGAGAAGAGAGAGAGAGAGAGAGAGAGAGAGAGAGAGCGGGGGGGGTTCTCTGACACGGTGTTTTACTGCAGTACACCCCCCCCTCCACCACAGACACACAGACACACACACTGCGGATCGTGCTCTCCACCAATCAGAAGAGTTTTGCTCCGGTGACGCACGCGCCGCTCTGAGCACAACCGGCAACCGGCTTCTTCACCCCATCAGCGCGCGCCTCAGCGGGATTCCTCTCTGTGTGAGCCCCCACAGCTCCTCAGCGCCGCGTTAAAGCCCCTCTGTCCCACACAGCTTTTTTATTGCATCCCAAACAACAGAAGAGAAGAAGACATGGCGAAGGACGACAAGAAGAACGAGTGGAAGGAGTTCTTCTGGAACCCGAGGACCCGCGAGTTCTGCGGCAGGACGGCCAGCAGTTGGGGTACGTCTGCACCAAACTACGCCTTTTCACGCTTACCTCGCATTCATACCCTCAAGTTCACGCGCACAAACTTTCTCGAGCCTGACGCTTCCAGTTCACCGGCCTCGCTCGAATTCTCCGTTCCACCTTAAAAGGTGCAGCAGAAACAGTCCGGCGCATGTACAGGAGTGTGTCTGCTGTACCATTTAAGGTGGAACGGAGACTTCGTCTAAGGAGCTAACCACAGCTTCGTCACACGTTCAGGGAGGTTTTTATTCCAGTTCGTGTCTGTAACAGTTATCAGCGCTCGTGCGTGTATTGCAGTATTGCATTGCGGTATTGGCTCGAGCCGGCGTTTTGCTCTCCGCGTGCGCGAGAGCTGTAGAGTGGCTGCAGCACAAACCCAGTAAAGCTGGAAGATGAGACTAAAATGCTATTAGGAAAATAAAATAATGACGATTCTCAGCAGAGGCGCCCTGGTGCACAAGGCTCAGATTACTGCGGGAGAGAGAGAAGAGTGTGGGGTAGAGAGAGAGAGTGTGTATGGGGGAGAGAAGAGAGTAGGGGAGAGAGAGAGAGAGAAGAGTAGGGGAGAGAGAGAACCCTGGGAGAGAGAGGAGAGTAAGGGAGAGAGAGAACCGTGGGAGAGGGAGAGAGAGAATTGGGGAGGGAGAGAGAGAGAGGAGTAGGGGAGAGAGAGAGAGAAAAGTCGGCGAGAGAGAACAGTGGGAGAGAAGAAAAGAGTGGGCGAGAGAGAGGAAAGGGGTGAGAGAGACGGAATGGAGTAGTGCGGGATGGAGAGAGAGAACAGTGGGAGAAAGAGAGAGGGAAGACTGGGGGAGAGAGAGAAAGACAGAGCGAGAGTAGAGTGGAGAGAGAGAGAGAGACTGCAGCAGGAGCTGAAAACTGTTGCAGCATCAAATCTGCCGAGAATGCGGCTGTAGGTGAACAGCACACAGTGTTCAGTTCACTCTTACTCAGCTGTGTTGAGTTGGATTAGGGCTGAGAGGCACTGATACAACTCAATCTCATGCTATTTTCCAAATATATCACAGTATCAGATGATATACAGGTAGCATTAATAAAGCTAATAAACCCATGCTGGGCACTGCCACTCTATATGCTACAAGAATGTCTTACAAACCTTTCTGTTGGAGGATTAGAGAAATCTTCCATTTTCTTGTCTTAAAATGACATAAGCAACAACTGCGACCAGCACCGTAAATACTACACAGACAAAAACCACATTTCCAGAAAGGAATCTTGTTATTTATTTAACTTTTATGGATTTTAAGCTGTCCTTTCTAAACAATCTGAAGCACCCAGTAAATGACGTACATGACAGTGAACTGTCCTGAATACTACGAGTAGAGGGCTCAGAATAGAACTAAAAAGCTAAAAATGGACCTTTTGGCAACAGAGGTGCTGCTATTTTATGGGAATTATGGAAGTACAGACGATGCCCTGTCCTATGTCTGAGTGTTTAATTCACTCTGACTGGACTAAAACAAGCACTGTGTGTTTTAATTCCAACACTGAATGCTAATTTCAATTCTTCACATGGCCTTTAAACACTTTTGACGCTAGTTCAAACGTGTGCGTCCTTATTTTAATGTGCTAGGTGTTAATTTGGCACTGTTAATTCTGTATTAAACGTCAATTGAATGATAATTCCTCTGTAAATATGCTCATCAGTGGTGCAATTTTAGCAATGTGAGTGTAAATCTTGCACAAGTGAATTTAGCATATATGCTAACTCAACACTGGATGCTGATTATGACAGAGTTAGAGTTCACATTACAGGGGCTAATTCAACACTACAAATGCTCATTTCAGCACTGTGGGTGTTCATTCAACACTAAACATGCTAGTAATACTGTGGAAATTTGGCAGTTCTTTGAACTGAACCAGGTGCTGCACCACCTGCACCATAGCTAACTCTAACATTCTGATGGAACACACTGGGCTGAGCTCAGGACAGTGTGGGGAATGGGTTCGGTCATAATTGACCACTTTGTAAACTGATACGAAGTTCATAAAAGTAAGAGTTTGTGTAAAGTAAAGTCTTCTTGCTGCAGTATTCACTGGGCTTTCCTAATGTAATCTGAGTGAAGGATCACGCTAGTTGTAATACAGCCACAGCACCTCCTCCATCTTATGTATTCTGTGTGTGTGCATGTGTGAATTAGTGTAAGATGTAATCCCGCTTTAATAGGCTCACTGGTTGCCTTGCTGTTGAGTTGCTAGGACGAAGACATCGATTCAAAGCGTGCTCTTTCTGATAGATCTGTTAATAGATCTTAGCACAGAGTGAGAGAATACAGGCAGTGCCTATTACATTACAGATAAAAATGACAACACATTTTGGTGTAGTGATCGCTGAAGCTGATATTTTTTCCTATTGCTCCTGTATAAGCAGTTTATTTTCATTTACTTGCATGTAATAGGGATGCACCGATATGGGATATCCGATATTTTTCGTGTGCATTTGTGCTGATGCCGATATGTAAGAATTTATAAATTGAAAAAAAAAATTGGACTGGCATTACAGAGAAACATAACATCCATTTCTGGAGGGTTACAAATGCAGTAAAATGAATCAAATGCCAACACAGTCACATGCAAAAGTTTGAACATCCCTTGTCAAATTACATACATTTTCTAAGTGAAATGTTAAAGGTTTAAATTTTCAAGTACGTTTTTTTTTAATGGGAATTGGCTTAGTAGTTTCCAGTAGAGACTAGTAGTTTCCTGTAGAACACATTAGGAAACCACCAAATGCAATTAGAATCAGCCATTAGTCACCTGTTAAACTATTAGGATCCTTTACACTGTGATATCAACCCATTAAAAGAGCCAAAACACATTACAAAACCATCCAGAACCAACAGAAACACTTAATAGTTTCTATGTTTTTTTTTCAGCAGGGAAAACATCACTTAACCAGGGGTGCCAAAACTTTGGCCTGTTTTAGCCTAAAAGTTCTGCTTTTCTCAAGTTCAGTAAAAGTTACTGAACTGTGTGTGTGTAAGAGGGTGCGAGTGTGAGAGAAAGAGAGGGGTCTTCTTAGGACTTTTCGCCCGGTTAAGCTGCTGCACTCTCTAAGACTGCTTAATGAGTCTATCTGTCTCTGGCCTGAACTGTGGTATATTTGGCCCCTTTAACTTCTGTCCTCATTACCTGGGCTTAGCAATGACCCAGGATCTGCCTTACAGCCTGAAGCTCCGGGCAGAACAGGAGGAAGACTTATTTAAGGAATCGTTTGGCCAAAAAAATGACATTCACACAATGTCCACCTCAACCTGAATGCAGTCTGTGAACTATGCTTTTAAACACACAGCGAACGTCACATAGCTAAAGGCAGCACGTAGCAGCAGACATCTTAAAGCCTGTTTTTAGATTACAGTATGTCATACACTGTCAGAAAACAAATAAGCAAGTATATTTGAGGTTGCTGATCACCTCAAGATATTTTGAGGCGAGTGTTTGATGATTATATGGCGTTAGCTTGCAGTACTTGCTAGCTCCATTAGCTTCGTAGCTCCAGTGAAAAACTGAAGAAGCAAACATGCCTTAGCTGATTGATTACACTAACTACATTTGGGTAAAAGTGAAAACTGTGTACCTTTGATTTTTGGTTGGACTATTCCTCCCTACGTTGGTGACTCTGGGGGGAAATGCTAAGCAGAGCAAAGGGCTTCTGAGGAGATTTGTGCTACTGAGCAGATGCAATTGACATGAATGGGGGAGGCTGCTGATCACTTAGTCAGAGAAGTCAGAGTCAGAGAAGGAGTTTAGCTGGTTATAAACCAGAATTACTTCCATTTGCTCAGCTGCTCAGTTCCATAAGTACAACTTTGGATTGTATTTGTACTTTTAAATGCTAATACATTTATTTCTGCTCAAATATTTGTGACAAAGTGTACTTTTTCCTGTTTCTGGACTGCTTTTCTATGTTCAAACCTCTTACATTTAAGCTTTAGGGTGTTATTTTGCTCCAAAAAGATGCCAAAAGAAAAGAATAGAGCCCAAAAACCTGAGTTTCTGTGCTGATATATGCTGGATGTACTAAGAAGCTCCACAGAAGTTCTAAAGGAAGCTCAGTACTTAAGGAGTTTTCCTGATTGTACACTTTTTTATTCACACTATATTTTGGTAGCTAGTTTGACTTCTACTTTGGTTAGTATTTTGATGAAAAAAGAATGAAGTGAGGGAATGATTTGAGGGGGTAGGCAAGGGGATGTAACATAGCATAAATGTACAACAGCTGGCCCCCTTCCTATCCCCTTTGGAATATTGTAAGATTGCCAGATGTTTAATGTTTGTATACATAGTCAGTAGTGGTTGATAAGTCATACAGGGTCCCAATATAAAAAAGCTGTTACAAATTAGAATTACAGTTGAGCAATCTAAGAGGAGATGGGACAAGAACAACCCACAGTATAGGATGAGAAATTTCTCTAAAGGCCTTTTTTCTTGTTCTAAAACATAAGTATTGCTACAGTTCATAACTGACCCCTCAGGTCAGATTGAATCCACCATTCCCTTGATATTTTTTACAATTCCCACACTGAGAACACTTAGTTTTACTTGACTAAAGATATCCTACCCGCCAGTTATAACTGATTCTTAGTCAGTCCTTGTCTCTTGGGCATGCAGACATAGAGCAAATCAACAAATAATAGACCTTTAATATGCAGGTAGGTGGATTAGTTCTCTCCACAATGATTCAGAATCATTAGGACCTCATGGTGTTAATTGAAGCCATTTCCATGGCGATGCTGTAGTGAGACGTGGTTGGTGGTTCATCGATGACCCACTTTATTTTAACATATTGAGTGGGTTTGGAGGAAGTGTCTTGTGGGAAATCGGCATGTTGCAGCGGAGGCCTTCAAACAGTCCAAGCAGCAGCACCCCCAGGAGAGCCGTTAAAGGCTCAGTACATCCCCTCCAGCTGCTGCGTCAGACTGCTAACTCAGATACTGGATGTGTGTGTGTGCTGATGGAGCACTGCTGATGTT